TAGATTTTCAGTACAAATCGGCAATTTCATACTTTAACCCCTATTATATACCTACGTATATACCTATACCTACTATAGTTTTAAGTTTATTAACCTAACCTAGACAATACATATGAAATGCAATAAATGAATGAATACGAATACTCACGGGACAAATATTGGGATTCTCGCATTCGTCGATATCTTCGCAGTTATTCGTCACTGGGTGTCGCATCTGTCCTAGAGGACACTCGCATGAGAACGAACCGATCGAGTTTACGCATTTTCCACCTTCACAAAGACCTGGAACTGCTGCGCATTCGTCTATATCCTAAAACAATAACGAAAGTTATTATCAAACCAAAATAAAATTTATTTTTAGAAAACTTTCATGGAGATTATGCTTAAAAAAGTAAAAGGACCCAAGTACGAACCTTGATGTACTCCTCATGAAATAAGTAAAACTGTTTAAATAAAACATTTTAATACTTTGCTTTAATGTAAGACTATTTACTTAAAAAAAAGATCTCAATTAAACTGAAACGGAAAACATATCGATTGACATCATTTCAGAGATCGCATTACTCATATATAGATGCACAGTTACTTGAGAATGTCAATAGTCCTTCACATAAACATATTTTTTGCCATATTACATATAAGAGATTATTAAAAGTTCATCTGTAGCAGTTCTTTAAACATACCTGGCATTCCTTCGTAGCCAAGTTCTTCAAATGTCCCGGCGGACAATCGAGCTCGCCACAGCGCTCGCAAGGGTGTCCCCAGGCCACGCCCACTGTAGCGCAGCAGAGTTGCTTCGTGCATACAATGCCTTCCAACGCCCCCGTGCAGAGGGCATTGCGGGTCTCAGTGTAACAAGGACCTTTACAATAAACAAAAAAAAAATTTAAGTTATATTAATACTACATATTTAATTTCAAAGCGACAGTGTTGTCCTGTCACATTGAAATTATACGAATGACATACAAATATAGCGAAATTTTGGAGATAAATTGTTAATATAATGCAATTTTTGAGATAATACTAAATTAGTTGTCAAGTGCGATATAGTATTATATATTAACTGTTCCGTCTATATTAGTTGATCTACGGATAAATTATAAATGATCTGCATTCTAGGTAATACTATCATTATGTTTAAGCATAATACATTAATATGTGATAGTCAAAAATAATATTTGATCCCCTTTTTTTCATATATTCAGTAGTTAGGTTAGTATTATAAAAAGCAGCCAGAAGCGAATTTGCTTGCGTTTCCGACCATACATATAAATAACCACAAATTACACCCAAACTCACGAGAGAAGTAAATGTAGGCCATACAAATACTGCTCTCGGCCCGGAAATCGAACCCAAGACCTCTGCGTGGCAGACCAGTATGGTAACCGTTCGGCCACAGAGACAGTTAGTTCAGAATAGGGTGTTCGAACTAACATTGGACTTAACTGGATGATGATTTTTTAACTGCCTCCATGGCCGAACGGTTACCATGCCGCACTGCCACGCAAAGGTCCCAGGTCCGATTCCCGGGCCGGGAGAAATAGTTGTATGGCCTACAATTATTTCTCTCGTGAGTTTGGTTGTAAATTGTTGTTGTCTATGTGTGTGTCCATGGCACCCGCGACACAGGGTTTTCCTAGTGCGTAGCTATGTTGAGTGCGTGCGTTATTTATTAAGTATTATTATTTTACCATCTTAGTCAGTCGTGACTGAGATGGTGAAGGCCCATGGCCCGAAAAGTTGGTTTGTTTGAAAAAATAAAAATCGGAATTTCGATCCAAAAAAAGTTTCATGTCTAATGCGTAGCAATCGCGAAAGTTGAAGAACTCGATACCTCTAACTAGTGTTTACATTAAATTAAAAATTTATCAATTACTTACCAGTTCGTCTGTCGATTTCGCATCTGACCCCTGAGAGTCCGTGGAAGCACACACAGCGGTCGGGCGCGACGCAGCGCCCTCCGTGTAGGCACGGCTCATGGCATATCGCTAAAAAAACATTATCTTAAGTTCTGGCGTATGTGTTAAATAGGCATTCAGAAAAACGTCAAGTTGGTATTTGTTTATTGTGATTTGTGACGTGTGCGTGACAAACGCATCCATCACTAGAATCAGTTTAGCTCGAAAGAGTTGTAGGAAATATACATTATAATGACTGCCTAAGAAAGTATTACATTATAATTCTATGGACATTTATGGAGCGACAAAGAGGATTAGCAACCGATCATTGTGGCGGTCTTTGGAGGAGGCTTAGGACCAGTAGTAGACATCTTTCGGTTGAATTAATTGATGATTTGTGTGACTTACGCTCAGTGCAAAACTCGCCGGACCACCCTGGTGCGCACGAGCAGGTGCCGTTGGTGCACGTGCCGCCATTCATACAGATTCGTCGGCACCCGCCGCGCGGTCGTGCTGACAAATATTTAAAATATTTATTATCTTTAACCTTAAAAGGAAGACAAAATTAAAAAAACGCAATAAAGTACTTCATTACATTAAAGAGCAGTGTTATAAAAAAAACATTGTATAGATAAAGTATTTCTGAGATACAAGTAAATAAACCCGAATTGACCTTTTTTCTATTCGCCTATTCTTAGAAAGACTCTCTTACCAAGGACGTCAGTGAATCACATACAAAGAAGCAATACTAAGCAGATTGGGTAAAACGCGTGAAGCTAAAGGTCTCGGGGGTGAATGAACAAATTACCTAATCTTGAGCAAGTGGGTCAAGGCATACGTGCCAGTGATTCATACAAATATTATCTGCTTCCTCTACCAAATTTAGAATAGCCTTTTTCAGCGTTACAAAAACGTTACGTTTACAACATTAAAAATAGTTATTTTTGATATAAGTGCGGAAAGTTAGTCATTATTTACGAGTCTCGAGGCTTCTTGGCCCGAGCCAGAGGCGAGGGTCAAGACGCGAGACAAGTGAAAATGACAAATCCGCACGTGTATCAAACGACGTTTTTTAATACATTTGCGAAAAAACTACATTGAAAGTATAACAAAACAGTATTTAAAAAAAACTCATTTTCTGCTAGTAAATTAAAATAATGAAATACAATCACTGCAACCATTATTTAAACGTCTATGGAAATCTAGTTCTAACGTGCTATTTTTGTTTATTTTCTGTAATATCGGTCTGTAACCACTTTTCTTATTATGAAGTCCTGGTACTTTTGTTTAAACTTCATTAGGAACCCGTGCACGGTAGTGAGATACAATTTATCTGTAATACATAGAACAAATATATACATAAAAATCTCGCCTGTCACCCATTCAGGGGTAGGCAGAGACTGTGGACCTCCACTCGATACGTTCATTATATAGTATTTGTAAATAAATATAAGTTTTAATAACGAATGACTTACGTCACAAAGCACATAAATATTAAATAAATATACAACTTCTTTAGTTCTGTGCTTAAGATTTGAAACAACAGTAAATTAAAAAAATGGAAAAGTAAAAAGCACTAGTGCGAAAATTCCAACTTTCGGCACGATTTGTAGTACGAAAAATACCACGTTTTGAGCAACTGTATTAAAAAATACATTTCGAATATTTATTACAACTCGATCATAAGTTCAAACAAAACAATATAAAACATTAAGAAATTATAGACTAATAAAATGTACCAATTTTTAAATGACAAATCCCTAACTTCACAGTCCATGTTTTTTATTTGTTATGAAACAAAACAAAACCTTACAGGTAACTAATTACAATCGAGCCTTTTTACAAGACTAATAAACAATTTTAATTTAACATAATTTCCTAAACCAAAAGTTTGTATGCCTATACGTAATGAGGATCTGCGTTGGACACACGGCGGCTTTCGGCAGCGATGCAAACGGGCGTTCGTGAAATACGCTTCAAACGATGCAAACGTGTGACTGCATCGATGTAATCGCCTATAAATAAAGTGTAGCGATGCAATCGCGCGTTTGTATCGATGCAGTCGCGCGCTCGCATCGCTGCTTAAAATCGCGCATGTAAGGGTAGATGATTATTGACTGCATCATGCATGCATGTAACCGCTCTTATATCGATTTTATTGAATATCATAATGTTTTACAACCATGATATTCAATTAATTTTTGTGATATTACTCCACTAGTTTTTTATAATTATTAATACAAACATCAAACACAAATAAAAATGCCTTCCATGTGACAGGACTCGAACCTGCATCTGCATGCCAATCTAGAGCAACCGCTCTACCAACTGAGCTACAAATCGAGTCAGCGGACCTTACGAATTTCTCTAAGCATTATGACCACGCTATGACAAAGTTTGGCCTACACACGTTAACACGAGTCCTGTCGGATTGAGGGAATTTTCTTTGATATCGATCTTTATGTAAAAGTTTCATATTTTGACATAGTTATGTAATTTATTTCGACACTATTAAAATTATTTTTATTATTATGACATCCAGTATATCCAATTTACAATTATTAAAATTCAAAATCGACCGAAATGGCAATCACCTTTTAAATTACTGACTGACTTATTAAAACCAAGTGTACGCAAGTGTATAAGTGCACGCCTATGAGCACAGATGGTTTCATATTAAAAAAATATGTTACACCTAGTTTAGTCTGATGAAGTGCATGTGCGTAAATATACAATTTGCATGCCTAATGTTTGGCCAGGCACTGAGAAACTACACTTATTTTGTTACATGTCAACTTCTAAACAAGAATTACGTTTATCGTATCTAAAGGAATTTTACTTCCTTTGCTACAACATTAGTTTCCATGTATAATAAATAGTACTGAGTACAGTTAACCGATAAGATCGCACCCCCATTACATAATATATACTCACAAGGGTAGTAGCCACCGGGGGTGCAAGTGGAAGCCTCAATGCCTCCGGGGCAGCGACACATGTTGGGTGCGATGCACGCCCCACCTTGAGACCCGCAGTCCGGACGACATATTGCTGAAAACATCATAAGGTTTAGGTTGACGTTCTGATCTGTACTGACCTCACAAAATTCATCATCGTTAAAACTTCTTTTAAAGCTGGCCAATTAACCCCTTCTTCGGCTAACCGTAAATAAAAAAATGCTAAGACCGGTGTATCAAAAAACTCTCGTGTGGTTCGGTAGCGAAACTTCACTAAACTAAGTACGGTAGTAATAAAAGTTAAAATAAAGATTCTGGAAGTTTCTGTACTTAAGATAATCTTCTTACAGGGCCTAATTACACCACACAAAAAAAACATTGCGATGTACAAAACAGAAAATAAAATTAACGATGAAACAGTTTTTACCTTACTAGTGAAATAAAAACAACTTTGGTGTGCTGCAGCAAGTTATAAAGGTGCGAGTTTTGTCCAAAACAAGGGTAGATACTGGATTTCAGCTCCCACCTTGGAGAGTAGCACAATGCGGAGCACCAACAGCAAAATAAAAAAGATAGTACTTACGCACTACACATAGCAATGAGTTGGGCCTGGAGGTCCAACCAGGACAGCAACGCGTGCTGTTTCTGGTACGACAGACGTGGGGGCTGCAACAATACAAAACATATCTAAAGCTACACTTACCAGGCAAACAGGCTTTTATACTTTTAACATTATTTTCGTCAATTTATTCTTATAATAATAATAGTTAGCCTACACATAGTCCCACTGCTGGGCACTGAGTTTGGGCTGTAGTTCCCACGCGGACCCAATGAGGATTGGAAACTTCACACGTATCATTAAATTGCTTTGCAGATGTGTGCAGGTTTCCTCGCGAAGTTTTCCTTCACCGAAAAGCTCGTGGTAAATTTCTAATTAAATTGCGCACATAAATTCCGAAAACCTGAGAGGTGCAAGCCCGGATTCAAACCCACGACCCTCTGCTTGTGAGAAGATAGGTCAAACCATTAGGCTACCACAGCAAAAAAGCAAAAAATCATTGTAGGCAATGTAGAAAACAATTATTAGGATAATACACTCTATACAAAGGGTATTATTATCCGTATTATGTTGTAATATTTTCTCATCGATCTTATAAAACGAAAACACCTGTTCGTAGCAGTTGCAGTGCCACTCAGAGATGTCAATTGACAAGTCCCACATGCCTATAATTAATAACACACACCAGCACCCGTATCCTTCAAAACCGGAATGCAGTAATGCTCACATTACTGTTTGGTAGCAAAATTGCGTAATGTGGCAGTACTTCCCTGTACGAATTCTTTCACAAGGAGCTCTATTGCTGCTAAACATATAATAAAATCAGTACACTAAAAACTTAAGTTGTATTAGTAACAATAAGTGTTTGTATACATTTGAGGTCAACCATACACTATACTCGTACAGCGAATTTTTGCCAAAACATATAATTTACGGCAATGCCCATAAGTTGACCTGGATACAAAGAGGTGTTTATTTAACAACTTTCTTGTCTAATACCTAGTAACACAAACATCTTAAAAAAACTACAAAGAACAACCTTGCCATATTTAATTGTAACGAACAGCTGTACGAATAGTTGAGCGAATGAAGCGATTCGTTACGGCTTTTGTCTTTACTAGACTAATGTGCGAGGGGTCAAAGATTATCTTGTCACCATGTGTCTCTTAGACCTTGCATAGAGAAAAGAACGACTTTGCATGTTATGACATCACGGTAGGTATTGTAATTATCGGAGTTTACAATACAATTATGCTTATCTATGAAAGCAGGTTCCTAGTTCACTTGTAGCGTTGGAAAGTAGCTTTTATACAGTATACGTTCCTCTGTGTAATAAATACAGTGTATAAATTATATAGAACATAGTTTCCCAAAGAGGTCCCGACCAGTGGGCGCTAAAGTGTCATAGGGGGATAGGTGCTCCGGAAGCAATTTAATTTAGAATTTTTTTTCATCTTGCCTAAGTTACTTAACTTTGGGAACCAATGATCTAGAAGGAAACTTCAGGAAACGAGTAATTTTTTCGTTATACAGAGGGACTATTTACCCAATACATTTATGTACAGGCAGCAGTGCATCAAGCAGCAAGCAGAACATTGACAGATCTTGTTTCTTTGCACTGGACATTCGACAATATTCGAACAAGTTTGTTTTTTTATGACACCAAGTGACGAGAGGAACAAGTCGTAAGCCTGGTGGTAAGCGACACTCCCGTCCATAACAGCCCCATATCTTTCTACATTACTTTTGATTACAGTGACGCTCCCTATCCACTCTTAGGGTATACGAGAAGGGCACTATGACCTGCGCGAGCATGCCCACGCCGACACCATCTAAGTCAGGTCCTTACCCCAGATCGGCCCCTTTTGCACGGACTTCATCTGGTTCTCTGTAAGGTTAGTGCCTAACGTGAACCGCCCCGGACACACGTACAGCTCCTTCCCTATTTTCCAGATAAGTACCGAAGGTGTAGGCACGCTAACTTCACAGACTAATGGTTGCCACCGCTGAGCTGTCGACTCTAAGCCAAAATCCAGTGAAAAACCAAATCTCCTCTTTGGTGGCAGAGCTGTAAGGTACGGTCACTTTCCAACGCCGAAAAACGGCGTCTCTCCAGTTCCCAAATTCTCTCATCCTTATTAGTTCTCCGGGCTCGTGCCAGTAACAGTGTCCTGCGACAATGTCCGGACATAGCTAACGACTTAAAGGGCAGCTCACGTGACTCCCGCGTCTGCTCGCCATAGGCCCTCGTCTAGACCGCTACTAAGATGCGCTAGCTACGTGCGGGACGAATGCCCCGGTCACATGCTACCGGGGTAGACGAACGTGTTCATCCCTGCAGCTAACCACAAACCCCGGCGAGTCCATAGCCAAGTCCGCGTCCGCCAAAGACGTACGTGAAGGCATATCACTGGCGGAGAGCTCGGCCCGGACGCCCGCCGTACTCTGGTCTTGCCGGGGAGCCCGTAATCTCCCCGGAACTCCCTATCTCACGGGTCGGTAGATAGGGACAACTCCTATCCATAACAATTGCAGTACCGCGTACGAGCTTTAAATAGCAAAGATCTGAGAGGTACTGATTCCTTTCGTGTACGTCTGACGCACTCTGGGCAACAATCGACGAGTACCTTACGCAATACGAGTATATAGTGTATGCTATCGATACGATAAGAACACTGCGCCCTCCACCCTGACACATAAATTGCAAAATCTCATGTTTTATAATTTCACCAGCACCCTTACCCTTCAAATTGTCATTGTCTTCAAACCGTCATATTGCTTGGTGGCATAAATAAGTAAAATAAAATAAAATTTATAACAATGCACACACTCAACATAGCCCCGCACTAGCGAAAGCCCTGTGTCGCGAGTGCCATGAACACACACATAGACAACCACAAATTACACCCAAACTCACGAGAGAAATAAATGTAGGCCATACAAATATTTCTCCTCTACGTGGCAGTATTTTCTGATTCTTTCACAAGGTGTTCTACTTCTACTAAAAAAAGTGTAGAGCTTGATGTGCTGTTTACTGTACATACTTTTAATAAATGAGAAATTTCTTTTTGGGACACACTGTTCCGATACGAAATTATAATCAAATAATAGGGGTTAAAGTATGAAATTGCCGATTTGTACTGAAAATCT